ATATATATATATATATATATATATATATATATATATATATATATCTATTTCTTTGTTTAGTATCGTTACGTAACGAGCGCGAATTGTTGTATCGCGAAAAATCACGCGACGTCAAACGTGAACTATTTGACTCACCCTCCCTGAGACAATCGGCGTCGATGTACCTTCCACTTGGGCTGGGTAGGAAGCTAATTGAAAATGATCAGGAAAATGATCGATCTGTGTGTCGGCACTGTGAAATAATTTCCCACTTGCTCGTCCCGCGCGGCCGATGTGTCAGTATCAGGTGGACGTGCGTGCTACAGCGGAGTACTCCGTCGCGTGTAGTCGCTTCGATCGTCGTCCGTGAAATGCGGCCGGAGAGACGGCAGTGCCGGGGTTAAACCACGTCACGAGACGGTGGACTGAGAGCACGATTCGCATATACCCTCGTGGTGAGCGTCATGCCCGACGAATCGGAGCGGCGGTGAGCTCACCGCGCGCGAATCGAAGCTGTCTGCGGCGCCGCCGCGACGCGCCGGCCGGAACACGTCATGTGCGGAATTCGAGACGATAATCTCGTCGGGAGTCGATAATTTATTGTTCCCCTCGCCTGGTCCCTAACGCGCGCGACCGCTTACTCCGGGCCGCCGCGTTTTCCTCCTCCTTTCTGTTTTCTTTTTTCTTCATCTTCTTCTTCTCTTTCAGCATTGCACTTTGCCGGTCATTTACCGTAGCCGGAGAGCGGACACTTCTCGCATTTCTCGCGTTTCTTCAAGCCTGTCCCGAATCGTGTAGAGGGACCATCATAAAGATTTTATCTTGCATCATCGTTATTTATAACACGTTTGAGCTATTTTTTTGTTATCTATTTACGTAATGGAGTGACTTGAATGTAGAGAAAATAATCGTAGATCGACGTGTAATATGATATATGAAATAGGCGAATATATATGCATATACATGTTAAATTGGAGCATAAACTCGCAAATTTCGATTTTAGCTCTTTTAGCAAGAGAAAGTATAGTGATCGGAGGTAAAAGTAAATGTTTGACGAAGGAGAAAGTTAGTGGTACAAATCGACGCTAGCAGATGAGTGAATAAAATTTCAATTAAATTTAAAATTATAAAATTATAAATAAATTATAAAATTTTAATTTTAATTTTGATTAAATTTCGTCTACTTTCCATTTCCTTCCTTTATAATTATATAAAATTTAAATTTATTTTAAATTATAGAAGAGATATTAATAAAAAAGAGTATTAAGGAGATAAGTTAGATTACATATCGTTTTCGAAAAACATACATGGCGCAGTTGCAAAATTGCTATTTAATGTTCGGTGTTATCATTCCTCGGTGCAACCAAGCACGATAAGCGCAATCGACGGTGGCTAGATGGAGTTGCAAGTGCAACCTGAAGCTGAGATACATTATATTTGTGATCAGAATGGTCTCTGGCACACAATTCCATTTTTTAGATTATTATGAATTCTATCAAATTAGCTTAATAATCAGCTTAATTTGATTAAGCATAAATTATATTTTATTTAGTATTAATAATAATTGTTAATAATTATTGTTAATAATAGTAATTAATTGCAATAACATTATTAACAGAAATTAATATTACAAATGTACTACATAATTAAAGTTATTATATGACGCAATAATCTTCACTTTATAAATAGTTCAAGCTTAAGTTGATTCAATATTTCAATTGACATTGGTTTATATATATATCTCTCTCTCTCTCTCTCTCTTTCTCTCTCGCAAATTATTAGAAATTTTTTACGATCGTCCGATATAAATCTTTCTGATTTTTCTAAAAAAAAAAAAAAACGATGGAGCCATTTTTATTCGTAACATTTTCGAATAAATTGATAATAGGTGTTTAACGCAGATAATTGCGTTTTATTTTTATTCGATGTAAAACGTAAATTGGATTTATATGAACAAACAAGTTTATTTAAAAATAGAATAAAGATTTGCTTCTTCCTACCACGAAAAAACTTCTGAGATAATTTATGATTACACGATACGTTCTTTAAAGACGGTTTTTTCCACGAATTCGTACAAGGAAACTGAATAAATTGAAGGGTCTTGATAGTGACGCATTTCGCATACCAACAATCTCTCCTTTCGCCCACGTATATAATTATCATAGCATTTTGCAGACTACCACAATCTCCCATCTCCGAAACGGGATTTCCTGCATGACATCAGGTAGTTTTATAACAGTCCAGCGAATTATTGGATCTTGTTTTCATAACAATCATTCAACATCAAAAATTAAAAATGATAATCAAAAGATTGAAATCAATAAAATTTCAATTTTGTCCAAATTAACTTGAAGTTATTTAACAA